AGCCACAGAAAAAGAAAGTAGAGCCGGGCACGGTGGCTCATGCCTGTGATCCCAGCACTCTGGGAGACCGAGGTGGGCGGATCACCTAAGGTCGGGAGTTCAAGACCAGCCTGACCAACATGGAGAAACCCCATCTCAGTTTTTTTTAAAAAAAAAGAAAGAAAAGAAAATAAGAAAAAGAAAGTAGATTAATGGTTGCCCCAGGTTGGGATGTCTAAGTGGAACTAAGAAGTGAGTTGTAATAGGTAAGGGGCTGCTTTGTGTGGTGAAAAAAACTTACTGAAATCGACTATTGATGGTTACATAACTCTGAAAATCAGTGAATTGTATATTTAAATAGGTGAATTGTAGGTATATGGATTACATCTTAATAAAGCTGTTAAAAAAAACACATTAGCTAATTTCCATTGTTTTTCCCTCCAGGTAGAAGTAATGTGAAAAATATTAATAAATAAGTAGTGTCCATTCGTTTTTTAGGAAAATATTTACCTAAAGCTTTGCCATTTTAAATACAGTAAAAAAATTTTTTTCTTTTTTCTTTTTTTTGAGACAGCATATCAGTCTCTCAGGTTGGGGTGCAGTAGTGCAATCACACAGCTCACTGTAGCTGTGACCTCCTGGGCTCAAGTGATCCTCCCACCTCAGCCTCCCAAGTAGCTGGGACTACAGGTGCATGCCACCATGCCCAGCTAATTATTTTACTTTTTGTAAAGATGAGGTCTCCCTATGTAACACAGCTTGAAATCCTGCTTAGTTAACCCTATCAAGGGGATTCAATTCTCCTAATGAAAAAAAAAAAAAAAAAAAAAAACTCATTATATAATGACAACTGGACTCCCCTGGGGCTAAGTTCAAGGTTTAAGCCATTGACCCAAATTCTGCCTCCAGCAAACCCATAAATAGTGCCATGTCTCCTAATGACAGTGACCATCAGGAGTGACAAGCCTCCTGCTCTATCACTTTTTTCCAGTACTAGCCTTTGGACTGTAGTAATTGAAAAATTACTACAAATTAAACTAGGTAAGGGACCATAAGAGTGAATCAATTTACTTCATTTTACATTTTTTTAAAAGTGTTACAATAACACCTATAAAAAAACCACATTTCTGGTTTACAACTGAATATCATGTTTTATATGTCATTTCACATTTGAGAAGCTATTTAATTATTAGAAAAGTACTCGTCTGAAAAATCTGAAACTTTACTTAGGATCTGAAAATTTAACTGAAAAAAGTAAACACCTCCTTGTCTAAACTCCTATGCATAAACTCTTTGCATTATTTTTGACATGGAGGATAGAAGCAAGACGAGAAACATATTTAGGGGCTTTTGCAGTACTCCAGCTGAAGCTGATGGGAGAGAAAGGCTGACGAGAGAGATCACAGGTAGATAAAATCACTTGGACCTGGTGACTGGCTATGTCCTGAGAGAGGACAGGCAGAAGCGAGTTCTCAGGGTGGGGTCCCAGCAACTAAGCTCTGAGGGAAGCTTTCCAGGCAATACTAACGCTTCTTCACATTCCAGGTCCCTTCCACATCTAGAAAGGATTCTTTCCACACCCAAAATATTCCTATTCATTTTAAAATCCCCTGGCTTACTCAAGCATATCCTTTCTTTAAATTTATCAAAATTTAAAAGACAAACAACAATGTATCCCTAAAATATAAAAACTCTATAGATACACTAGAGGCGAATCACCAAATTTTATTCCAGTATACAGTATACCAACTCTACTACAAAATCTAAGAAACTCACAGCTTGAAAAGGAATTTCATAAATTTATGCCGATGAACATCATTATATACAGATGAAAACAATGAAGTAGAGAGCGCTTCAGTCTCACCAAGTGACCTTGATTCATAAGATCTGAACTTGGTTTTATAACTCCTGATTCTGTTTTCTTTTTTTTCTTTTTGAGACGGAGTTTTGCTCTTGTTACCCAGGCTGGAGTGCAATGGCTCCATCTTGGCTCACTGCAACCTCCGCCTCCCGGGTTCCGGCAATTCTCCTGCCTCAGCCTCCTGAGTAGCTGGGATTACAGGCACGCGCCACAAGGCCCAGCTAATTTTTTGTATTTTTAGTAGAGACGGGGTTTCACCATGTTGACCAGGATGGTCTCGATCTCTCGACCTCGTGATCCACCCGCCTCGGCCTCCCAAAGTGCTGGGATTACAGGCTTGAGCCACCGCGCCCGGCCCCTGATTCTGTTTTCTTACTTTTTTTTTTTTGAGACAAGGTCTGGCTCTATCACCTAGACTGGAGTGCAGTGGCAGGATCGTGGCTCACTGCAACCTCCACCTCCCAGGCCCAAGCCATTCTCTGAGCTTCCCAAGTAGCTGGGACTACAGGTAAGTGCCACCAGGCCCAGCTGATTTTTGTATTTTTTTAGAGACAGGGCTTCATTCACCATGTTGGCCAGGCTGGTTTCAAACTCCTGAGTACAAGTGATCCACCCATGTTGGCCTCCCAAAGTCCTGGGATTACAGGTGTGAGCCACCATGCCTGGCTTTTCTCACTCTCTTAAACTCACTTTATGTAAGATATAGAAAATAATGTTTAAAGTAAGCTGTATAAAGACAGTCCTTAGATTTTATAAATTACATGTTTCAAATGCATTAGGGGATAGTGATTTGACACGTATCTTCTCACAGTATTACAAACACTAAATAACTTTTCATTATAAGCTGGGCCCAGTGGTGTATACCTGTAGTCCCAGATACTCCAGAAGCTGAGATAAAAGGATCACTTGGGCCCAGGAGTTTGAGACCAATCTGGGCAAGGTGGCATGATCCTCTCCCTATAACAAAAATGACAGTAATATAATCACACCTAAGCAAAGTGGAATAAAGCCACAGAAGGGAGGAGTAAAAGGACTCACAATCTTGAATCTATGACTGACTCAGAGATATGCAACTAAGTATCAGTTCTTAAAGATACCACAAAACGCCTGTAATCCCAACACTTTGGGAGTCCTAGGCAGGAGGATTGCTTAAAGCCAGGAATTCAAGCCTGGGCAACAGTGCAAGATCCTTTATCTACAAAAAGAAAAAGAAAAGAAAAATTAGTCAGGCATGGTGGCACATGCCTGTTGTTCCAACTACTCCAGAGGCTGAGGTGGGAGAATCGCTTGTGCCTGGGAGGTCAAGGCTGCAGTGAGCCATGGTGACGTCACTGCACTTCAGCCTGGGTGACACAGCGAAATCCTGTCTTGAAAATAAAATCACAAAATCAGATTGAGAGCCTGGTGAATCTGCTCTTGAATGATAGTTATAAAGAAACTGATTTATATATACATGGTACTGTAAATATCCTCTGCTTATTAGATCTTTCAAGAAATACTTTCATATCACTTGTTTAAAATTATTTTAAGTCTACTAAGAAAGATAAAGGGATATGAAAAGCCAAATTATGACCAGAAAGCCAGATTATCAATTATATTAAAAAGTTTTCAAATTACCTTATTAAATAAGGATTAATTTGTAGAAACTGAAGAGTTTTGTATTTTACTTTAAATTTTAAAAATATAAATAAAAAAGATATAGACAGACATATTTCTAATTAACCAAAGAAGTAGGAGAGAACAGAAGATGAAGAGACATTCCACTCAGTTCACTAGAGTCTGATGTAAAATCTGTTGGCTTGTACTACACCAAGGAATCCCGTCTAGGGCATACCAAAACTTTCTAGTCCCATGTATTTCTGATAAAAAATAACCAGAGGCTGCCTCTTCCCAAGGGGGCCCTGTGATTCTGGGCAAAAATTCCATAGCTCTAAACGTTAACTGCCAAACTGCATACCAAATGAGAAACACTCTGAATTACTTTTTTGCCAAAGTGATACAGATAACTAGAACCAGATGTCTTAGTCAATATGACATATTAAATTGTATATTAATACATGTTCATGTATTTTATTTACCTGCTGAATGAGATGGAAAGGTCTATAAAGAGGTCATACTAGCATCTAAACTCACAGGTTAGAGATCAAAGCCACAGGAATGACAGAAGGAAATTTTTATTTCCTTTGGTCATTGGTAGAAAATGGTCTAATTTATAAAGGAAGGAGACTGCATATATTTAAAGTACCTAATGTGAAAACATGTACAAAGGATATCAATTTCAGCACTGTTTTTTGTTTGTTTGTTTGTTTGTTTTTTTGAGACGGAGTTTCACTCTTGTTACCCAGGCTGGAGTGCAATGGCGCAATCTCAGCTCACCGCAACCTCCGCCTCCTGGGTTCAGGCAATTCTCCTGCCTCAGCCTCCTGAGTAGCTGGGATTACAGGCATGCGCCACCACGCCCAGCTAATTTTTTGTATTTTTAGTAGAGACAGGGTTTCACCATGCTGACCAGGATGGTCTCGATCTCTTAACCTCGTGATCCACCCGCCTCGGCCTCCCAAAGTGCTGGGATTACAGGCTTGAGCCACCGCGCCCGGCCCTGTTTGTTTGTTTTTGAGATAAAGTCTCACTCTGTAGCAGAGGCTGGAGTGCAGTGACATGATCTCAGCTCACCACAACCTCCACCTCCCGGGTTCAAGTGATTTTCCTGCCTCGGCCTCCAGAGTAGCTGGGATTACAGGTGCGCGCCACTGTACCCAGCTAATTTTTTGCATTTTTAGAGACAGGCTTTCACCATGTTGGCCAGGCTGGTCTTAAACTCCTGACCTCAGGTGATCTGCCCGCCTCAGCCTCCCAAAGTGCTAGTATTACAGGCATGAGTTACTGTATCCAGGCTCAGCACTGTTTATAATAGTAAAAGACTGGGAAGGGCCATAAGGAAGTAATTAAATAAATTACATTACGCCCATACAGTGGAACACTGTGGAGACGTATCACACCCATAGAAGACCACACAGTTGGATCTACTTGTGCCATTGTGGAATTAGCTCCAGCATAAATTAAGAAAAGCAGCACGATGTAGGACAATAAACACAGCATGGGATGGGAGGGGATTTATTTTTAACTGATGAAAGACTAGGATAAATGCTATTTAAAATACCTGGTGGCATCCTCTTGGCAGCCCCTTTTTTGCTTCTTGCACTTCTTTTTCCAGGTATTTTTTTGTCCTTTCCCAAGAAGGCCTGTTCATCTCTGGAGCCTTCGCAAACAGTGTTTTCCGAGTCCTCACCTGCAGCCACCTCGCAGCTCACAGCACAGCTTTCATTGTTGTTGAGACTGTCCTGCTCAGACGTTTTGGGTTTGCCCATTGCACTGTCACTGCTGGTCAGATGCTCATGCCCATCCCCATCAAGCTGATTTTCATTTTCATCTGATGCAGGCAGGCATGTCACACTCCTTTCCATGCTGTCACCAGGATGACATCCATCTTGTGGTTCTATTTGCAGATTATATGTAGGAGTATCGCTGTCATCCATTAGCGCATCCTTTGCTGAACCATTTAAAGTTATATTAAATACCTTCCATGTCTACAATGACAAAAAGAAAAAAGCTACTTCATTTTCTAACCTTTGCAGATTCTCAGTTATCTTAAATTTCTCCCTTCTCTTAGGTTGTTTCACTTTAAATAGACAAAAGAAGGAAATGATTTAAGTTCATTCCCTTTCACCATGTGCAACCCAATCCCAAACTCAGGTAGTTCTCATTTTCTTTTTTTGTACATATGAAAATTTATGGCTGGGAGCGGTGGCTCAAGCCTGTAATCCCAGCACTTAGGGAGGCCGAGGCGGGTGGATCACGAGGTCAAGAGATCGAGACCATCCTGGTCAACATGGTGAAACCCCGTCTCTACCAAAAATACAAAAAATTAGCTGGGCGTGGTGGCGCGTGCCTGTAATCCCAGCTACGCAGGAGGCTGAGGCAGGAGAATTGCCTGAACCCAGGAGGCGGAGGTTGCGGTGAGCCGAGATCGTGCCATTGCACTCCAGCCTGGGTAACAAGAGCGAAACTCCATCTCAAAAAAAAAAAAAAAAGAAAATTTATTTTCTATGTATACCCAAGTTTTCAAGTATTAGATTTACTTATAAATTCACCAGTGTTATCATTATACAATTGGCTGAAATTAACAGTTGCAATACAGTTATTCTAGCTTTTCATATTCAATTTGAATGATTTAAAAAGTTTATTTTCTGTATCTAATCAGAATTAAATACTTTAGATAGAATCTTATACTTTATTAGATAACAAAATATAATTGAATATCTGCTTAGGTCATTTCACTTTAAATAGGGAAGGGAAAGAAAGGTTTCAGTTCATTCCCTTTCACCATGTGCAACCCAATCCCAAACTCAGCTAGTTCTCATTTGAATACTACAGCTGTCAACCCTGGCTCCTCAGGATCATCACCTGAGGAGGCTGCCCAAATTCTATTCTAGACCACTAAATCAGAAGCTCTGAGGATGGAATCTAGGCACTGATATTTTTCAAATTCTATAGGTGAGTCCAATGTGCATCAGGTTGGGACCGCTGCCTTAATTAAATCACCGAATAGATTATGTGCTGAAATTAGTCACTTATGTTAATCCCTGGATACTTGCCAGACAACTGAAAGCTAGTTGTATAAGTTCTTCTCTGGCTAAACAGCAGCAATATTTGGAAATGAAAATGTTTAAAGATTTTTTTTTTTTTTTTTAGGCAGATTCTCACTCTGTTGCCCAGGCTGGAGTGCAGTGGCACAATCTCGGCTTACTGCAATCTCTGCCACCCAGGTTCAAGTGATTCTCCTGCCTCAGCCTCCAGAGTAGCTGGGATTACAGGCACCTGCCACTGTGCCTGGCTGATTTTTGCAGTTTTTAGTAGAGATGGGGTTTCACCATCTTGGCCAGGCTGGTATTGAACCCCTGCCTGACCTTGTGATCTACCCACCTTGGCCTCCCAAAGTGCTGGAATTACAGGCATGAGCCACCACGCCCTGCCAAGATTTTAAAAAAATAAACTAGAAAAAAGTATGTGAGGGAAAGTCTGGGTAGCATATATTTATACTACCATTATATCTTTTATTTCTTAAGAATAAGCCCTGGAGCCGGGCACGGTGGCTCAAGCCTGTAATCCCAGCACTTTGGGAGGCCGAGGCGGGTGGATCACGAGGTCGAAAGATCGAGACCATCCTGGTCAACATGGTGAAACCCCGTCTCTACTAAAAATACAAAAAACTAGCTGGGCGTGGTGGTGCATGCCTGTAATCCCAGCTACTTAGGAGGCTGAGGCAGGAGAATTGCCTGAGCCCAGGAGGCGGAGGTTGCGGTGAGCCGAGAACGCGCCATTGCACTCCAGCCTGGGTAACAAGAGCGAAACTCCGTCTCAAAAAAAAAAAAAAAAGAATAAGCCCTGGGAGGTACCTTAGAATTATCATACAAATCCCTTTGAACACTTAAAAAATTTAAAAAAAGAAAAAGAAGGAAAGAAAATAAAGAGAAAGGGCCATGGTTAACTCTAGGCTACTATTAGTGTAGAATCAGAAAAAAAATCTAAATCTGCTTAAAAGATACTGCTGCCGGGCGCGGTGGCTCAAGCCTGTAATCCCAGCACTTTGGGAGGCCGAGGCGGGTGGATCACAAGGTCAAGAGATTGAGACCATCCTGGTCAACATGGTGAAACCCCGTCTCTACTAAAAATACAAAAAATTAGTTGGGCGTGGTGGCGCGTGCCTGTAATCCCAGCTACTCGGGAGGCTGAGGCAGGAGAATTGCCTGAACCCAGGAGGCGGAGGTTGCGGTGAGCCGAGATCACGCCATTGCACTCCAGCCTGGGTAACAAGAGCGAAACTCCATCTCAAAAAAAAAAAAAAAAAAAAAGATACTGCTAGTATTTTTAAAATTTACAAAACAGACTGCAAACCCTTTATCAGTCATATTTTATCTCCTCTTATTATCTAAAAGTTTATTACATTTTAAGAAAAATGATAGATATAAAGTAAATATTCCAATACTTCTGGAAAAAAAAAAAAACCTCAGCGAGAGGACTTCTAAAGACTCTTCAACTTAATAGGTAGAAACACTTAATCTTTAGAAATATGTATATAAAGTACAGTCTTTAAAAACATGAAAAGTGCAAAATAAAATATTAACCCTATACCATCATATATTTTCAAAATATTTTGCCACTGGAATATTTTATTTAAAGATAAAAGTTTTGTTTGGCAAATACTAAAGTATCTAAACCTGGCTGGTATTATTTTCCTTAAAACATACACTACGTATCTCTACTGGTCTGTGAAACTGGTAACATCCTCAGCCATTTTCTAGTTTATGTAATTAAGAAGTATTCTGGCCGGGCGCGGTGGCTCGAGCCTGTAATCCCAGCACTTTGGGAGGCCGAGGCGGGTGGATCACGAGGTCAAGACCATCCTGGTCAACATGGTGAAACCCCGTCTCTACCAAAAATACAAAAAAGTAGCTGGGCATGGTGGCACATGCCTGTAATCCAAGCTACTCAGGAGACTGAGGCAGGAGAATTGCCTGAACCCAGGAGGCGGAGGTTGCGGTGAGCCGAGATCGCGCCATTGCACTCCAGCCTGGGTAACAAGAGCGAAACTCCGTCTCAAAAAAAAAAAAAAAAAAAAAAAGAATTTCAAGCAAACATATTAAAGTAAGGCTTATACAAAACATGAGAACCCCAAAACTGTGAGGAAGAAACATTAAACTAAAGAAAAATCTAAAGTAATAGGCTAAGGAAAAAAATTCCATTTTACCAAAAGCATATCTCAATTATGGATAGAATTTGACTTAATTTTTCATGCATCTTATCTGATGAGATTAAGTATTTGGTATTACTAACATTTTAAAAAATAATTTATGGGAGGCCAGGTGCAGCAGCTCATGCCTGTAATCCCAGCACTTTGGGAGGTGGAGGTGGGTGGATCAAGAGATCAAGAGATCGGCCGGGCGCGGTGGCTCAAGCCTGTAATCCCAGCACTTTGGGAGGCTGAGGCGGGTGGATCACAAGGTCGAGAGATCGAGACCAACGTGGTCAACATGGTGAAACCCTGTCTCTACTAAAAATACAAAAAATTAGCTGGGCATGGTGGCGCGTGCCTATAATCCCAGCTACTCAGGAGGCTGAGGCAGGAGAATTGTCTGAACCCAGGAGGCGGAGGTTGCGGTGAGCTGAGATTGCGCCATTGCACTCCAGCCTGGGTAACAAGAGCGAAACTCCGTCTCAAAAAAAAAAAAAAAAAAAAAAAAGATCAAGAGATCGAGACCATCCTGGCTAACATGGTGAAACCCCATCTCTACTGAAAAAACAAAACAAAACAAAAATTAGCTGGGCATGGTGGCACATGACTGTAGTCCCAGCTACTTGGGAGGATGAGGCAGGAGAATCACTTGAACTGGGGAGGGGGAGGTTGCAGTGAGCCAAGATCATGCCACTGCACTCCAGCCTGCTGATGGAAATAAGAATTTATGGGAATACATAATGAAATATATTTAACTGAAATGCTTTAAGAAGACTATGGGTGCCATTTTTCTGTATTTCATACAGATCAGATAAATACTATACTTTTACTTTTGAAGTCAAGATCCTTCTGAAGAACGAAGATTCAAGCCCAAATTTAAATTAGATTTACAGTCAAACAAACATTTAGAGGAATACAGTCACCAAACCAATAAGGTAGTTTATTAACACCAAGTTCAAATTTGTTTATTCCTAGCCAATTCAGAGTTGAGGAAGAAAGTGACCACATCCATGTTATTCTGTGTATTATGGACATTACATAGCACTTTACATTAATTTTTACCACTTTACTCATTCACTTACATCTCATTGCTAAATCTATAGTTTTCTTCTCTGATTAACACTCTTTGTTTAAACAAATGTACCTTAGGCAACATTCAGCACACCAGCAATCAAAAGTATGCCTCAGAGGGATGACTGTCAAAACCTTTGTGACACACAATAAAAAATTCATTTTTCACTGAGGTCCTGAACACACAAAATATATACATCTATGCAACTAAAACTTAACATGTGAAACACTCCGATATGTTCTTTATTCCATTCAATACTATTTCATTTATCTTTAAAATGCTGATCAGGATCCACTACGTTGATTTCATGTCCCACTGACAAGTGTTGACCGCGGCAGCCTGCCATAAAGCAGTTTCTAGGAATGAATAGTATCTCAGCCTGAGGACCCCCAAGTGAGGACCACAGAAGGTAGCAACTATCTCCGAACTGTTTTCTGAAAATGATGCAGAACGTCTGAAATTTACATACAAACTTTACTTAAAATGTCGTCCTCATAATTTCAATATAATAATGTTTGCTAGGCCAGACATAGTGGTTCATCTGTAACTCCAGCACTTTGAGAAGCCGAGGCGCGTGGATTGTTTGAGCTCGGTTGTTCAAGACCAGCCTGGGCAACATGGTGAGACCCCTGCTTTTCCACTAAAAATAAAAATTAGTCAAGTGTGATGGTGCATGCCTAAAGTCCCTGCTACTTGGCTGAAGCAAAAAGATTGCTTGACCC